ATAAAGGAATTAGAAAAACCCCTCACATTTATGTCCAGTAAGTCTCTCCTAGGGTGGCCTATAAAGAAGGCAGCACAATTTTCTGCAGAACATTTTCTGTTTTCTCCCTATGATACAGCCTACGACAAGAAGTAGCTCAGCCTTTTTCTTTTTTCTCTCTTCTGTGGAAGTCCCATGAAGAGCAGCACCAATGCTGACCTGTTGGATCTGATTGCTGCCAAAGATGGCTCCTGAAGCTCCTGTGCTTTTGTCACACTGTGGCTTTTTGGCACTGAACAATATGTGCAAACCCATGGGTAGCAAAGTCTCTTTTTTTTTTTTTTTTGGCAGAAGTTCTACCAATGCAATCTAATTGTATATTGTTCTGTGAGCTCTGATGTGAAGTGGTTTGGGAAGCATTTGGGATGCAACTTACGTGGGATCATGGCGGTGGAGTGGGTGACTTGTGCTGAGATCTGAGCCAAACAAGCTGGAACGCCTCCATGGGCTGCCATCAAATCAACTCTTAATGCTTTCAGACCATCCTTGGTATGTAAGGCTTCTTTGGATGTAGGGCAGCCTCCTAATGTTTGTGATGGGAAAGAGCTTGGCTGAGGTATGTGGCTAACAGTTAGATATGAGTAAATAGCCATGCTAACAGCAGTTGAGTTACCACTAGCCCAAAGCATCTCCCTTCCCAATGAGCAGACATGCAGTTCATCCTTCTTTCAGACTCTCCCATCTTTACTCTGCTGTTCTCCAAAGTTTGTTCTCCAGTTGTCAGCTTGCTGAGATTTGTCTCCTAGGTTCTTCTCTACCTGGGCAGGAACAAACCCACAGCCTCACTACAGACTGGACAGATTTAGACAGCAGAGCCTGGCTTTAAACAGCAAATGCCAGAGAGGCACTTTGAAGTGTTTTCAGTTTCAACAATTTCTTTGCTCCTTTTGTGCACTGACATTTTTCTGGCTCAAGGTGGAAAGGAGTGAAGTGTGGCCTTGAGATACAGCAAGGTCTGCAAGTCATAGTGGGGTGGGAAAACAGATGTTTGACAAGGCAGGACCCGGCCAAGGCAACTGCAGGGCTTCAGGATTTAGGCTATTGGAAAGGACACAGCAGCAGGGAATGCTGAACAAAGCTGCAGAAACATGGCTCTAGCATCCACTGCAAGATCCCTCCACTGCTCTTGAGGAGGAGACTCTTTGGGGAAATGTCTGGGACAGAGCATGCTGGCCCTGCAGCACTGACCCTGCATCAGTGGCCCTGCACTGTCTGTCCTAGTGAGTGCAGGTGCAGGCTTACAAGACTTGCAAAGGAGAACTGGAGCCTAGCTGTCAGGAAAGAGATATGGTACTGAGAATTAATTTGCTCAATTTGTTCATTCCTGCTGAGAAGGAACGTGTGTCTGTGCAAAATGATGCTGGAAGCTTTAATGCATGCATTCATCCATGTCATGGGTAGAAGGTGAAAAGATTTCTTATTGTTGCTGATTCTTCCCCATAACGCCATGACTTGTTTTCCTGTGGTCTGGCCATTGGGAAGCTGGAGGAGGAAGTAAGAGAAAAAGTGGTGCATAAGTAACCCAAGTAACCTATTTTATCTTAGTGCTGAATCAGTTCCAGTGTCAGGCATGTCTGAGTGGCTGTGGTACCTGTCCCCTTGCTGCAAGGCTGATGGTCCTTGGGAAAGGGAACAAGACTGCAATCAATGCCATCAGCAGACAGTACCTTGACTAGGAAATGCTCACGTGCTGCCTAGGAGTGGAAGCACTCAAAGAAGCCCAGCATTGGCCCTTGCACCTATGTGCAGGCATGCTCAGTGCTCAGAGGCATGGCTCTGCCTCGTGGAGGTGGGAAGATGGAGCACCTGCATGGGAAAACACTTGCTGCATCAGTGAGAGCAGGAATCAGAGCTGGAAGAGTGAATAGAGGATAGGTGTTTGTGCAGCATGAACACTTGGAGTTCCTACTGTGCAGCCCGTGGGCTTGACAAAAACTTGACTGTGGCCTATGTGTGTTTGTATGAGTGGCATAACTGAACATAAAACCTATGAGGCTGACAGTGTTGCATGGTTCATTCTGCTAGGGCTTGGGGCTTTCCACTTAATTTTTTATTACCTACAGGAAAAGGATGTGAAGTGCCTTTAACCTGTTTCTGCAGAATAACAACAGACATAGCACAGGGATGCTGTGTCTCTTTGCTGGATAAATTCCCAATTGGCTTTTTCTGGAAGTGTTGATTCGGGAAAGAGGATGTGTGCTATATAGTTAAAACTATAATGGAGCATATAGAGCCAGCCCTCACTGCCACATCATCACCAGGAGTGGTATGTCCTGCAAGGCTGCCACCCAGTAAAGGATTTCCCAATAAAATTGGTAATGCTGGAGCAAGTGAAATTCACAGAGAGCAGTCTGACAACATGTAACATTAATTATCAGTGATCTAATATACTAATGGTTGGGCTAGCAAATACTGGAGAATGAAGCAGGTAGGTTCTCTGTGGGGGAGGTAAAACTTGAGGTCAACTGAAAATAGCTCTTTACTTGAGTAAACTTGAGTTAACTGAGTAAAGGGATAGCAATGGTTGAGAAGTATTACGTTAATATTCCCTAACTTTAAAAAAAAAAATCAGAAAAATAAAGCAGCCTTGCACAATAATAAGTATGTAGGCAGGCACACAACTCACATTAAGGAAGCTGTGTTGTTTTGGTGATGAGCACCAGCCCCTAGGAGGTGTGAGCTGCACTCCCACTGGGAAGCTGGAAGAGTGCATGCTGCAGAAAGAATCACTCCTAGGAGCGCTGTCCTCTGCAGACAGAGGCAGAAGGGAATGCAGGCATCTCAACTGGATGCTTCATTTGCAGCAGAGCAAATCAGTTTGTGTTTACGTTGGAAATGTATGTAAAAAGAAAGGTGCAAGGGCTAGCTGATGGAAAGGTATTGTTGAGAGGCACGAATTTCATTCTCTCTACGTGACTCCTCAGTTCATCTTAAAATCTGGAGGAGTTCTTGTTATCCTTATAAATCAATCCTGAAATTTTATCCTGAAATAAATCCCAGTGATCACACTTAAGGGTGAAATGATGCACTGAAAATGTAGAAGACCTTGAGGCTCTGTACAGCAGAGCATTCCAAAGCAGGGGGTCAGAGTTCTGACTCAGAAATTCAAGACACGATATGCCTGCACATGAATGCCCACACATGCCTGAAAAATTGGTGTTCCCCCCAGTCTCCACTTTACACATGGACTGCATTAACTGATGAGAACATCTTAAGAGAGCTGGGCAGGGTTTTGTTGTCTCAGAAGTAAATGTCAACACTGAAGACACTTTTCTCTTCTTGTCTTTCTGTCTCTATGTGTGCATGATGAGCAGCTCAACACCACCCTTGCTTTCCAGCAAAGCAAGCATGTAATTTAAAGGAACTGATGCTCCTGTTTGTTTATGAGTTGGCGATAATGGCTTGGTAATGGCAGTCTCTAAGTCACTATCGACATCCTAACATCTTTTGTGGACTTTTCAGAAATATCTCATTTGCTCGCTTGGTATATAAAAGCTGTTCCTGCTGAGCATAATGTCTTGAATATAATTCTTACTCAATTACTAGAAATGCACTGTAAACATTGTGGAAATTTGGTAAGGGAGCCGTAACACACTTCATCTATCAATTTACTCTTTTTCTGTCATTTGTCTGACCTTATGAATGGATCTGTCTTCATAACTGCAAATACAGTTTGAGAAGGAAAGTGGGCTGTGATTATTTGTAGCTATTTTTAAAACCATCTTTTGTCCTCCCATTCTTTGCCATATGTCTCTGTAACTGAGCACAGTGGGAAGTAATTGCAGTTGCAAGTAAAGGAAGAATTATTATAGTGTTGCTTTAATGAAAATGTTCCAGTTCTGAGCGGATGTGTGTAGATACAGAAACTGCAGAAATTATCTTTATTGTAGGAAATAATTGACATTACAGTGGATTTCTTAGATACGTGTATACTTTAATTTTGATTTGATGTTCCTCTGCCTTTTCCAGTGTAGGAGAACATACAATGGGGAGCCAGGGAGCTGCAGGAGAGGAGCTGCTTCTGTCTGGGGACACAGATCACACCAGAGGGTAGGGAGCCCCTCCAAGTCCTCTCTGTGCTGCCATGCATTGTGCTAGAGCCCAGGCTCACTCTGAGTGCTACTGAACATGCCAGTCTTTTTCTTGACGAGTGGGTGAGTGGAGGAGAAACATTAAGTATGAGCAAGGCTACCAACACAGAACAGCAGTTATGTTTGTGTCTGTGAGTTTGTATGGGTACAATTTGGCAGTCAAAAATGCTCCCTCTGACTAGTCCAAAAGCTGAAATTTCAGCTAGGCATGCTAAAGATTTTCTGGAATATTGGCAGTGATGCCTCTTAAATGATGTGTGACAAAGGGACTTGAGAGAGCACTGTGTGCTTAGAAGGTCTGAGCCTTTCTGGGAAACTCTGAGTCCTTTGGTCCAACAGAAGAAAAATGTAAGCCTTGCCTTGGTGAGCTATGGATCCAATCTTTTTTACAAGCAAGTTGAAATGTATTCACCTCACTTCAGCTGAGGTGGTGGGGCTGCCATCACACGTGTGGAAAGCAGCGTGGTACATTCCTTCTGCTCAGTTGAACACTTGGCTTCTCAGCTAATCGTGAGTAGTGGAAAGATTATGTTTATTTCTAGGAGTCTTTGTTAAACATCTCACACTTTCCTCTAAAGTATCTGGTATTAGTAGCTGCTGGAAATGTAATGCAGACTTAATGGACCATGTGTTGGCAAGTGCTACTTGTGACACCAATCTAAAGGCCTTAGCCTTTTTTTTTTCCTTTCCATCCAAGCCCAAGCATCATTCCTTGTGCTAAATACAAAGTCTTCTTCCACTTGTATAAACTACAGAGTATTGGTATCTGGGGATTTTCTTGCACGTGGAGAGGGAAGACATGAAGTCTGAAGCTACCGAAAGAGGTTGGAAACTCAGACCTCTAAAGCTATTCCAGATGGTCTTGAAACATTAAAGCAAGTTTTATTACAGAGAATAGTTTACATTACACTCATTTATTAAAACCTAAGGACATCTTTATAAAAACTACTGTATATAAAGACAAGAGCAGTGCAATAGCAGTGTAAAACACATTTTTGGTTTACTTGGCAACCACTTTAGAAAGACAACATGATTCATATTATGAAGTTAAGTATGCTGCAAAAAACAGGACAGGTTTAGATCAAAAACTAGATTAGCAAATCACTGGACACTGGCACATATTGATTTCAAACATCGAGTGTTATGTAAACAGTATTATCGTCAGCATATCAATAGTGAGAAATCACTGTAACCCTAGAATTTCTAGTTTGCTTAATTAGCCTAAAATTTGACTGCAGACTATTAAAATGGACTATTGTACTGTATCTATTATCTTCTTAGTGATTTACTACTTATGTAAAAAGAGGACTAGAAAAAAATGTCTGTCTTACGCAATTTTCAAATTAGAATTTTCAAGGATGAGAAAACATGTTTCCTTCCAGTGAGTTGGTTGGGTTTGGGGTTTTGTTTCAGTTGTCCTAATTTTCATACGTCACCACTGGTAATTAAATAGAACTGGATTTAAAAATTGCTTTGATGCATTACTTCAACACTTCTGTAAGTGGACAGTCCTCTAATAGAAATTACAACCATAATAAAACTATTAAAAACAGTTATCTAAAATAGCTGCTACAATATGCTGATGTATACATTAAAAGGCCAGGTTGTTGTCACTTTCTGTTTTTTTGTACAATCGATAACCAGGCACGAAATATGGTTAATTACAACACCAAGTCCAGCACAAGCTGTATTACGTATCTTTTTATGTTCTATGTTACGCACAGCAATTATTAAGAAGTTGGACACTCAGTTCTCAGTAAAATGTAGGAGAGAAGATGAGTTGGACAAGGAAGAAAGCTTCTGGAACACAAATGTAACTAACAGCCACTGAAGTAGCTGCCATTGGTGTACAGGGTGTACAATGAAATTATGCATTTTTTGTTAATTTTATATCCTTTGTTTTTCAAACTATATCAGGGTGGAAACTGAGAAATATATTTTCGCCTAGGTCTTTTCTTTTAGAGAGAGATCGTGTTTGAACCAGGCTCTTTCTGCAGAAATACTTCAATGATTCATTGCAGTTCATCTGGTACACCATGATTATTACTTTGGTCAGTGAATGCACGGCACTATCAGAGCTCTGCTATACAGAAGTTTAGAATGTTCAGGCTACCTTTCGTCTAGCAGTGCTCTTCTGCAATATCTTGTCAGTATGGGAAATCAGTGTGGGAGAAGGGCTGACAGAAGTCGAGGTTGGGAAATATGTGTGCACTGTTTCCCTTTAGTTTAAGGCCCAGCAAGCATTAGTCTTATTCAAGGTCTATTCTGCAAAACTAGGTAGGCTATCAGGTGATTATAGCAAAACAGTTGATGCATATCATCAACTACGATGTGGATTTATCCATAAATTAATTGGTAGGCAAAATCAGAACTTCAGCCAGAGAGTATCTACCTTATATTAACTGGCTTTGTATGTAGAATCAAAGGAAAACAAAGAAAACTGCTCATCAATTACAAGGTATACATGTACTAGAAGTAAAGCATAAAACTGCTCATTAATAACGCACAATTCCCAGAGGGAAAAAAACCCTTACAAAATACAGTAATTCACACAAATCAGTATCTAATACAAATTCCTCCATGAACATAAGTTTTTACAAAGCTCTCTGTGGCCCATTGCCTCATAATGAAAGAAGATGCTGACGGAAGGCCAAAGGAGCAAACAGCTACTGCAAAACACCAAGGTGGGATTGACTGCTGTAGGCATAGATACTTTGGTGGCTGTCTGCAAGGGATCGTGAATCTTGGAGCCAATGTGGAAGTGGGAGAGGACACGATGCCTCCAGAGGCATGGATAGTGTTGTTTCCAGCTTTCTTGCTGTTCTTGCAAGGTGACCCTGCTAGCATCGCCACGCGTCCTCACTAGGAGAGATCTGCCAACACTCAGAGCTCAGCTCATTCCCCTGCTGAAGCTCCAGGCTCCCACGATAGAGCCATTGGGGCTGTGCTGATGTCTGCAAGCTACTTACGGTGCTTGTTTGCAGGAGGTTCTTTTTTGTTCCCAGCTGAAGTTCCTTGAATGATTCTGCCATACACTAATGAAATGTTCTTGTGAAAAACTAAGGTCCGCTGTGTTTGGAGTGAAACAAGGTTTTAAAAGTACTGACTGCTTTTTATTTGAAGTGCTGCAAAGAAGAACACACATTCTGTGAAGAGAGAGGGCAGCCAGGCTTCTGCTTACCTGGAGCCTAATGCCTGCAGGCTAGGATACTTATCTGCAGCATTTAAGTTCTTGGTAGTTAGTTGTTGCCTGCTTCCATACAGAGGTACTCTGCTTTTTTTATTTTTACCAGTTGGATTGCAAAGAAAAGGGACTTGAGCATATCAGAATCCTCTTCAGATCTTCTTTGGAGACCAGGCGCTCCTATGCTCTCTAGTCCTGCTGGCTCCCCCAGCAGTAATTGTTCCTGGGGAATTCAGTTGCATTCTGTCATGCACTCCAGTAGCTATGAATTAGCTCAGATCTCTCAGGAATATATCCCTTTTGAGTTCACCTTAAGACTAAAATGCTCTCAAATCAAAAAAGCTAAAAAAATAAAAATAAAAAAATAATTATTCACAAGGTGCTTCTTTATACTGACTGGCAAAGTGTTCTTCATGCTGGTTGTACAATAAAATATGTCATTATTATAAAATTACTTGTATCCGTGGGACAAAAGATTAGGCAGGAAAAATTAATTTGGTATTAGCGTGACGCTGTGTTGCAATTTCTAGATGAACTCTGCTTAGTCGTCATTGCCAGGGTTTCCACACATAGATTTTAACAAATGATTACATTTCACAGAATTTGCTCGTGTAATTGATATTGTGTAATTTTTAAGTAAACCTGTCCTGTGGAAAGTTAAGTTAAGCTATCATAACTTAGTGACCAAGTACTCCATGTGCTTCTGTGGCAGCATCATTGCTCTTCTGACTTACAAATGAACTCTTAGATTTGAGAGGGATAAAATCTGACACCAGTCAGTAGCTGAGGGAATTGGATTATTGCCTTGTAAAGCAGAGGGACAATGGTATTATTGCTTTTGTAATATAAAGGTTGTTGCTCGTCTTCTAATATTCCTTCAGCTTCAAGGAGTATGGGGGAGGAACGGGGTGTCTGTTGCTTCTTAATAAAAGCTCCCCTCTTCAGAAAAGCATGTGAAGCTGAAGCTGAGATGTATTCAGGTATTTGATATCTTAGCAAAATCATTGCCAATGATCTTAAAATGTGCACTAAGGCTGAATCAGCTGCTATCCTGCAGTTTGGTGGTGAAGGCTTCACATACCTTGTTATGCATGACAACATGGGGACTGCCAGCATCTACTCTATTGTGACAAAGTAACCACCAGAGAACTTTGGAAAAACTCACATTCCTTATTCTGACATTTAGATTAGGCTCAAATGGCAATAGATGGATGGGGAGGCAAAGAAAAGTTATCTACCAAAGGTTTGTCTTGTGATCTTTTTCCACCTTTGTCCAGATTTGCCAGAGCAACTTTATTTTCTTCCTACTGAGCACTTTCTCAGACATTATGCTTCCTTTCAAAGATAATATTGTTGGTCTAAGATTAAAATATTGCTTACGGACTACTGTCTTCTGGAAACTCTTTCTACACTGTTTGCCTATAGAAGTTGTCTGAAAGATGTTTCTCTCCAGGTGACTTGTTCAACCTCCATCCGGTCCTTTTTCTCTCTCTGATGTTTATCCACCATTTTTTAAGCTCTTGTCATTGAATTGGTTTCCTTGAAAGCTGCTCCATGGAGTCTGATCTTACCTCTCCCATCCTGAGGCACATCAATATACTTTTCTGAAAGACATAAAAGACACAGGTTCCCACAATGCTCTGTAAGCATTCAACATCAAAGTATTTTCTGTAAAGATAAAAGTGTAGTATTCTCAGGTGTGGATTTAATCTGGGAAGGCAGTAAAAGAGCAAGGAAATGGGTGAGAAAGAAAAAACTACGGACTCTCAGATGTGAGGTAAAGACAAAAATCAGATTATATTCCAAATCTCTTTTTTTCTATGTGGATGTGGGTTACTGTTTCACATTGCTGAGTTGCCTACTACCTGTGTGATGAAAAGATAAAATATTTATCTAACAGGTAATAACTGCTGAACTCTTCATTTCTAGTGCAAACTGTCCACTCTGACAGTACAAAGTGCAGAGGACTTCCTTTTGCAACTGTAAATTTACTCTGAAGTAAATTTTATTTGCTTACACAATCCTACTTTTGCTGTTTACATGAGCAAAAGGGTATTCCTGTGACCATATTGTAAATGCCTTTAGCAAATATCATGGAGTTTTCTTCTTGCACTTGTTACCAAGGTATGCATCAGACCAAGAACAGACAGCTTACTCCAACCTCAATTGCTTTCATAGGATGAGAAAATGCTGGTTTTTTCTACTTCTGCATATGTAAATGACTATATGTTATAGTTATGGTTTCCTTACAGAAGTGTTGTGTTTATTTTTTTGCTTGCAACAAAAACAATAGTGTAATTCCACTCATCTTCACCTTGTGCAGAGTGTGTAATTATGTGATATAGGAACTGTAGTAGCATGTATAAGTTGCCTAACAACAGAAAGTGCTGAGGTAGACAGGGACTGCTAATCATAACAATAAATTGAAGCGATGCATCTGCTTGCTTGAGTAGGAAAGCATTAAGGGTTTGAGTAGAAGCTGTTGGAGGCACAATTAAGTATCCTAGTAGCAGCAATACTTTATTAACTTCTCCCAGCAGATTTCTTTGCGTGTTGGGTATTCCCAAGCCCATGCACTACATTATACATGTTGCATTTCATTAACGTATAAAATGCAAAGAAACATCTGGTTCAGACAGCAGAATATCCATGGGAATCAGTGTGCTTGAGGTTATCTATCTACCCATCAAATCTGTTTGGTGTATGAGGCAGTATATTCTCACTATATCCTTGATAACCTTATTCATATTAGAAATAGAGCAAAAGTACTTTGGATTCTGTTTTTTCACTGTCCTTTTTTGACTTGGTAGAAATGGCCACTAACAAATCTGCAGACCTGCCTCCCTGAAGGCAGAAGTTTAAAAGTAAGTTTGCTTCTATCTAGAAGAGAGCCTCCTGAGACTTGACTATCACTAATTTAATAAACACCCTGAGAGAGGGGAAAAAGAAGGTGAGAGCATGTGCTGTGGCTTGGAGCCACCTGTGACCTTTACAACACCTTCGGTACCTTCTTTTCACTCTTTTGTGGAGTGCTGCATGTGCTATAGCTCAGTTTGATCAGACCCATAGCATCATGGAGCTGTAGAATATCCAAAGTTGGAAGGGACTCTCAGAAGCCACTCGGTCAAACTTCTGGCTCCACCCAAAATCCAAACCTTATCACTGAGAGTGCTGCTCAGATGCTTCTTGAACTCCAGCAGCCTGAGTCCATGCCCACTGCCCTGGGGAGCCTGTTCCAGGGCCTGACTACCCTTTTCTTAACCCGCAACCTGACTCCCCCCTGATGCAGCTCCATGCCATTCCCTTGGGACCTGTCACTGTCCCCAGAAAGAAGAGATCAGTGCTGCCCCTCTGCTCCCCGTGTGAGGAAACTGTAGGCCGCCATGAGGCCAGCCTCCTGCACCAAGCAGAAAGCACCGGCGCTCTGCTCTCCCAACTCTGGCTGTGGCCAGTGAAACTGAGCCCAGTCAGCACAGACGCCAGGCTAAGTGTTGCCAGAAGTGCTGCTGAAGATGCAAACCTCTGCTTACAAGTTGTTGAGTGGCACAAAGGCCCAATAAATTCCACTTCATTACCATGTTCTGCTTTGTCTCAGCTTGATCCATGCCCTAGAGTAAAAAGTGTATGGGGGCAGTGACTGCAGGTTGGACTGATGATGGACCAGTCAAACTGGGAGGTTTGACAACAGTGGGATCATTGGAAATGCTTGCATTTTCCTAAGGGAAAGAAACACTGATTTCCATGCATGGTTAGCCAGAGTGCATTTGGCAACAAAAGCTTGTCTTGATCACTTGTGGTCTCTTCAATTGGGTTTTTACATATTAAGAGTTGATGTGCTTGGAGCTGGCTCAGCTTGCTGGCACTCACTAGCACAGGTCACCATCCACATGTTACCCAGACTGCCATTATTATGGCTCTGCCTGGCTGCTCAATGGACAGACCTGTCATGCTGCATCCATTCACACTGAGAGACAAGGAAGTAGCTAGCTAAGAAATTGCCTCTTCCTTCACAGCAATAGCTTTGCAAAGCGGCTTAGCTCCACTGAAAAAAAAATGACATCCATTAATAACAAAGGAGTGATTCAGAGCCTCTGGAGAGAAGGCTTTTGGGGGAACTTTTTTCATTTTCTGACAAATGAAGTAAACAGTTGCCACATTCCTGGTTCCAGGGCCTCTTGCAAAGTTAGTGTTCACATAAAAACACTATCAATCACTACAGCCCCTCCAGAGCTGAGATAACAAAGCAAACACCCTCTGCCGAGATAACAAATTGAACAGCCTCTGCAACTCTCTCTGGTATAAAATTGTTATGCTGATCAAACACACCCACCCTGATCTCGAGGTTCTGGTGCAATGCCTTCAGCTCTGCTTGTGTTGGGAGCAGAGGAAAAGCTTTTCATAGGAGGAGCTCAGCTGCTGGACTAACAGACAGCTTTCTGCAGCAGGAAACCCTGTGTGGATGCACTGATTGTTACAGGCACCAAGGCAGGCATGTCCTCCTTTCCCATAAAAGGAAGGACAAGAGAGAACAATGCACAATGCACCAGATCCTGAAAAAAAGCCTCACAAGTTTGAAAGGAAAGGATATGGAAAATGAATTGCAGGACAAGTACCAAATGAAAAGCCATTCAGTTGTCTAAATGTATTGCAAAGCAGAAAGAAATAGAACATAATCTAATGTGGCCTATGAAGTATGCAAAAAAAAAGAAAAAAAAAAAAAAAAAGGGAAATAGTTTTCATGGCTTGGCATCTGTACTGTCCAATGATTGTATTATACACAGCAAAATGTATGCTAAAAAAATGCTCAGGTTACTAATTCTAAATCTTAAAATCTATGAAATGCAAGAACAAATACTGCCTCTGCAGTCTTAATTTGGCCCTCTTGTTTGGGTAAAGAAAAGCAGAAAGCCTCAGACTTTAGATGGGGTTTGTCTCCTTTCTTTGGAAAAACCTTTCTTTCTTTGGGAGAACATCAAAATAGCTGCATGAATCATTTTTTTCCAGTGTAGTGGCAACACTTCAGACACAACTAACATTTGCTTCAGGTTGGAGCAGTAATCTGAAGAGGTAACAAATTTTGTTCTTCTGAACTATGAGCATTTCAACATCAGGCAGTGGCATGGGATGTTGCTATCTTGACATGGAGGAGCATCAGTGTGGCCCTTGTTTTCAGCCTCAGGCTGTGATTTCTTGCTGGCTCGTATCACCACTGGGGCCCCACAAATTCTCCCCATACATCATAGTACCTCCATGGGGTCTGACAAAAGGGCTGCCTTTAAATGGAGGCAAATTGGTTTTGTTACAATCTTTATGCAAAATTACTGCTGTCACTGGTAGCCATTGCTAATGTTTCTAAAATACCAGTTGGCTCAGGGCAGAGACATCTGCTGCTTAAGAGTTTAAACAAAACCCAGGCACTGGAAATTTTTGACTTGAGAAACAGACTCTGATTTTTCAACTCGTATGTTCTTTCTGCTTTAGCTGACAATTCTGCAAAGGTGGAAATGTCTCGAGGTGTTTGAAAGCCAATACCTCAGGAAGTGTTAAGGATTAAATGGAATGAATATGTAGCAAATGTCAGATTGATCAGAGTGAAGTTTATTCCTCAGCTGCAGGACTAAGAAAAAGAGGCAGACAAAACCAGAAGCTTCTGTCCTGGTAGGTGTGTTCTTGGCACATGGGGGCACCTAAATGAGGCCAACTGAGAATTGGGCCCTTTGCTGAGCAGTCACAAATGCCTGAGAAATTGCTGTCCACCAGCTGTTAAGAAACACCATGGGACTTAACAATAGGCCCACAAGCCCAGGGGGGCATGGGACTGATGGGTATGCTGAATTTTGCTCATATTCTGCTGGAGTATTTGGGAGGGTATCCTTTTTGAGGCGTACACCAACTGCATTAAGCTGGTGGCCCATGACTTACCCAATGCACGTGTGAATGGTGATTAAAAAGGTTACTACATGCTCTGGACTAAGCATAGATGGAGAAATGTGAATCACAGTTATGCTAGTCACACTTCTGGGTTGTAGCACCAGAGTGCTTAGCAAATTGAACTGTTGCCTGCTGGTTTAAGAAATAGCTTATTGGGATTTCTCTGCCTTGCCCTTCCAGAGGGCATAACCTGCTCTTTTGCTCTCATGGCTCATAAGCCACCATCTTGATTCCGGAGCATCACCAAAAGGCAGGTATTTTCTCAAAGGGTGGTGACACACTGGCACAGGTTGCCCAGAGAGATTGTTAATGCCCCATCCCTGGAGGCATTTAAGGCCAGATGATGTGGCTCTGGGCAGCCTGGTCTGGTGGCTGGCGACCCTTCACATAGCAGGGGAGTTGAAACTGTATGATCTTTATGGTCCTTTTCGACCTAGGCCATTCTGTGATTCTATGATTTGCAATGGGGATCAGCTGTGGATTGGAAGAGATTGCATTTATCTGGTGTGTTCTGGAAGGCTGAGGCCTACTGGTAAGTCTTCTGCAATGTGCTCAGAACAGTGCTGGCATGTGCCAAGGACTTCAACACTAGGAGAGAGAACTTCTGGGGTGGGTTCACTGCAGTCCTACTGAAGCAAACTGTAAAAGTGAATGCTGTGTTAGCTGTCTTCAA